CACACACACACACACACACACACACACACACACACACACACACACACACACACAGCGCACCATGCCGAGGGAGTTGGGGGTGTGAGAGGTATCGTACTCGCCCCATAGACTTGCAAACTCCTTCATTAGCATCGTAGGGCCAGAGTTAGGTAGCTCGTTAGCAAGGCGGCCACAGCAGCAGATGCTTCTACCTGCGTGCTCGTGCTCCAGCACACGCACACATACACGTACACTATATGTATACATGGAAAGACACCCACTCAGCTTGCAGTGAGACACAGTGATACAGGCCTGTGGCCCCAGTAGGTCCTGATCCTGATGATTAAACCAGCATCATTATTATAGACTATCAGAATTACTTCTGCTTCACATCTGAATTCATCCATATTCAAAATGCATGTGACTCCTTCCTCATCAAGTCTATATTTGCACCTGAAACTGCCGTGTGTGCATGAGCATATGGTTTTTGCTCTAACTCCAGTGAGTCCTCTCACACTGTTAACTGTTTCATCTGTTTTGTAAAGACTGCTGTTTCTCAGGTGTTAATGGAAATGTAAACTAGCTATATACAACTTAAACTTGTTATAACACCTGCAGAAATGTCAGTGAGACATAGAATTATGATCTGATCTAATGGATGATGATAATGAAGTCAGAGATTCTATTTTGATTTATTTGTAAGAAGGAGATTCTTTGCCACCGCAGTGGCACATTACCACAGTGCCACCTAGTGGTAGATGGCATGTGTTGATTTGTGTGTTTTCTTTCTTGTTCCTGTTTCTCGTTGCAGACCAGCGTTCTGAACAAACACCTGAGTTCTCTGATGCCCGGTCTGACTGCGAAAGTCTTCAGGACATACAACGCCTCCATCACTCTGCAGCAGCAACTTAAGGAGCTCACAAACAGTCAGTCACACCGGCTCGCTGCACTGTAACAGTCTAAATTGACTTCAAATGCTCTGCACCACACATGAGCATTTTAAAGCGGTGGCTCGTGTTCCTCAGGTGCTGGTGCAGGGCGGTTAATAATGTAACTTGCCATCAGTTCAGCTCATTGTGTCACAGGGTCCAGTGAAAACACTGCAGTGACCCTCTTTTATATTTAGCCGGCTTAGTTCAAGGTATCCTGATGTCAGTCGGGTTTCTCAGTTATGACAGGAGTACATTATCACTAAACCCAGAGCCGTGCATCTCGGTCTCGCTCTTATCAGAGTCCCATTGGCTGCCTCGGCCATGATTTTTCCCTTTCAGAGATAGAAGTGTCATACTCGTCTCATTTCTGGCTTGCCACTGAGAGCCAATATGCAGGCTGACATGTGGTTGCAGGCAGTGTTGTGTGAACCACAGGAGGAATAGATGAAGTTAATACACGTGTATAAATGAAATAGGAGAATGTAATTGTATGAATGTGACTTGAAGCTTGATGTTTTGTCGCTGTGTGAGGTAATGGCATTAGGCGTGTCAGCGTGAGTTTCTCTTTAATAGTTTCTGTGCATAATTCTGGTTTGATATCTGTTCTCACTTGGATTTTTTTCCTTGTTTAAATACAAATTACTTTTTTTTTTCGTTCCTCAGAGTCTGACAATGTGGCAGAGAAACTGTTGTCCTACAATCGAGCTAACAGAGCAGTTGCTATTCTGTGTAACCACCAGCGGGCGCCGCCAAAGACCTTTGAGCAATCCATGGCTAACCTTCAGGCAAAGGTAAGGGCAGCTTGATTGAAAGTTACTTTAGTTTATATTTTATTGGACACAGTAATTTAAATTAGATTAGAAAGGTCAGCATCATACTTTTTTGTATTCTTCTCATTGTTAATTGACTGAAGAACAGATGAGAATTCAAGTGACAGTGGATCCACAGCCTGTTCTGTCACATGTTGAATTTAAATGTGGTGCCTGTGTGAGAGCTTGTATCCATATGTTCTCCACCCAGATTGATGCCAGGAAGGAGCAGCTGGCCTTAGCCAAGACGGAGCTGAAACAGGCCAAGAAGGAGGCCAAGACGAAGGGGAGTTCGGACCCGAAGTTGCAAGCGTGAGTGTCAGTAGTGGTGCAGAGGGGGACAAAAGAGAAGCTTTGGTAACATTTTGTCCTGTCCATGCGTTGGACTGAGGGCTACCACGAAGTAGCTTTAACCATTTTGGCAGATACCTGATATCTTTCTGTCCTGAACATTTTATTTCTGTAATACAACCAAAAAAAACAAGAGCATGAAACTTTACAGGTGTGTACCGAGAACAGAATAAAGGTTTTAAAATGGTTGCGGTGGAATCCACGGTGCACTGCTGGAGTTACGTCATCGTTCTTTCCTTTTTCTTGTATGCCTCCTATTTTTAGAATATAATTCATTCATTCATTCGAGTGACCCTCAGGCAATGAATGGTTTCATGATATCTAATATTTTCATCACAGGCTAAATAAGAAAGCGCTGAACAGCTTTGAATGCGTTTGCAATGACAGCATCAGATTTATTTCCCCCCCAATAAAAATGTTTGTTTTCGGGTCTTTTCTACTATTTTCAAATATTTACACAAACTCCTCTTTAATTGTTACACTGTGAGAGGAAGTGATACAAAAAGGTTCTTCCATCCACACATATCTGTACCAGTGATGATTCCTTCTCTGTCAGGCTGGTGGAGCGGAAAAAGGCAGCAGTGAAGCGTTGTGAAGAGCAGCTGCTGAAGCTGGAGGTCCAGGCAACCGACAGGGAAGAGAACAAACAGATCGCTCTGGGTACCTCAAAGCTCAACTACTTAGACCCGCGGATATCCGTGGCCTGGTGAGTGAACACTACCAGCTGTTAAATATATAACACAAGATGTATACTGATATTTTCCCTCAGACTCAGAAGTGATGGCTGGTTTGTTTCAACTTTACCGTCTGTGTACCTCTGTTTCTAGGTGAAAAGATCTAAACCTGAATAAAGACGTTTAGGCTCATTTTTAATATTCCTCCCATCTATTCAGGTGTAAAAACATGGAGGTACCTATAGAGAAAATCTACAATAAAACCCAACGGGAGAAGTTTGCCTGGGCCATCGACATGACAGAGGCAGACTTTGAGTTCTAACCTAAAACTTGTTCAAGTCTTTCGTCTTAAAAGGTGACATAAGCTGCAATTCAGGAACCACTCCGTTAATTTTACATACAGTACTTCAATGCTGCATTTATTGTATTTTCAAAGACTGCCCATGTTGTACTTATAACTGTGTGGTACGATCGAGCTGTGCTTAATGTGCTTTTGCTTAGTGGTGTTTGTTTTTGTTCGACACTTTCTTTGGAAAAACTGCTGTTATTTGCTGTTTGTATGTTTTTGTTTGCATTAATCTGAATAAAGGTTCCCATTAGGCAGTAACGGGCCAAAGAAGCTGTCACGAGTTCTTAAACACCACTTTTGGGGAAGTGTTGTTTCAAATGCATAATTCTGCTGGTGTCGGTTTGCATTAACAAAGACAGTTTGTATAAGACTGAGGGCCAGTTCATTCTAAACACAGTGCTTTAAAATTAACAATGGGAAACGCTGATTAGAATGCAAATAAAAAGGCAGTAACTTTAAAATCCTTTAAACCCCATATTTAATTAAAATGGTACAAAGACAACAGATTTTGCTTTTTGGAAAAAATCAATGAAAATATATGCATGCGCTGATTTTTATTTAAGGGCAGAAATACATTTAAACAAACTTTTATGACCGGTGTTTTCCAGCGTGTTGCGTGACCTCTTCTTGAACTGATGAGACTAAATGTGTAGTTTTTAAAGTAAAAGTTGCATTTTCCAGTTCATAGTACACTAAAGTTTACAGTAGATAATTTCATCTGTGGATGCGATGACAGTCTTTAATGACAATAAGTGCTTCTGAGCCCAGTGACTGAAGATTCTTATTTTTGTGCCGTGTCACTCCACACATCTGAATATATTATGCACTGTACATGATGGGCTCATACTTATTTGCTGTGTCATTGTCCTTATTAATTCTGAAACCCTCGGTGTCCCTGTGGTGCTCATGATGAAGTTTCAACATGCAGGGTTTAAATGATTATTTACATTTTACAAACTGTCCTAACCTAAGAGGTTGATTATAATTTCATTACATTATAAACAATATAGATTTAAATCCATGCAACACTGAGACGTTCCACAGAATTTGCATCTGAAAATACGATTCTGGTTTAAAAAAACAAAACTACAGAAAAATGCAGAGCACCTCGGAGTTGGATGTATTGTTAAAAATTCTGTCAGCACCAGAGGGGTAGGCTACGAAGAACACTCAACACAGGCAGGCTGTCTTTGCTGTAGCTGGCTTGACAAAACGTAAAACTCCAGTAAGAGATTTGTTTTCAGCTCAGTGCGCGCTCGTGTAAAAAGGGGTTTCATGCATCGTGACTCCGTGTCCACGCAAAATGATCCATGTGCCATCTACTCCAATCTCAGACGTTATCAGATGGTGTAAAAACTGGATTTGGTGCATAAAGTGGTAAACATTAGAATTTATTATGTTATTGCCGAGTGTAATTTCAGTGCTGTCACCTTAGAAATAGTTCTGAGTCTTTTAGACTGGATACATTAAATGTGCCTGATGTAAAGGAAATGCACAAATCGCTTTCATTTGTCAGCAGATTGTGAAATGAATTTCACATTAGTACTCTTTGTGTGGGTTCTGTATGCTGGACTAAATCAGGGGTGTCTAACTCCAGGCCTTGAGGGCTGGTGTCCTGCAGGTTTTAGATCTCAGATCTCACCCTGGGTCAACACACCTGAATGAGATGATGAGTTCATTACCAGGCCTCTGGAGAACATAGAGATGCTGAGAAGGTCATTTAGCCATTTAAATCAGCTGTTTTGCATCAAGGACACATCTAAAACCTGCAGGACACCGGCCCTCGAGGCCTGGAGTTTGACACGGCTGTACTAAATAGTTGGGATAAGCTCCAGTCCCCTGCCCCCCCACACACATCTTAACTGGATAAGCAGGAAAGAGATGGAATGAAGTTTAACATTTATACTTTTTTTTTTTTTGCTTCACTAAAATAAACATGCACATACATAATGCAATCTCCTGACGATGATTTTAGTGGTTCCACTAAAGTGCAGCTTAACAACTTGTGACATATAAAACTTATTCCCCGAACATGCGTATAAATCACACTTTTTAAAAATGCGATGGATAAAAAAAAAAACCTCTGAAAATATGGATTTTTAAAACAAACTCTGAACATAACCTGCGGCCGAGCAGCTTACGTCTTCAGGTTAAGTGACCTAGGTTAAAAGAGCTGCTTATCTTAAAATCAGTTTTCTGTAATGAAAACTGATTTTAAGTTTGACCAACTCCAATAACTCACTGATCTCACTTCATAGTGCACCCCTCTTTCCAAATATTGACCATACATGACAAACAGCCGTGTATTAAATAGCTTTAATAGAAGACTATCAGGATTGGAATGCATCCCACACAATGGTTGTAACCGTGCTCACTGTGAAACACTGCTAGCTTTAGAGATTCGCTGCACCGTGTTGGTGCGGACACTGGGTTGGAGGTTTGTACTAACCTGTTAGCCTGCAAGTTTTAGTCCTCGTCAGAGGCTAGGGCAAAACCAACACTGTCTGCTTTCGTGTCGAGGAATTCAACTACTGATATACATGTATATGAAAATAACCTCCAGGTTAGTACGCTAAATCTGCAATCCTGCACATGAGCACTTGAGGTGCTGAAGGGCATGTCACACTACTCTAGCTTACAAGTAACGTTCAAATTTTCAAGTCATTACATAACCATTTCACAATATATAAAAAAGCATTTCACACAACGACACACCAAATCAATATTAGTCATTTTCAGAATGGAAAAAGTCTGCTGCTCCTGAATACAGGACCGACTTCACGCCTTGTGATTTAGGAACCTGTGGGACAGATTTAGAAAAACATTCACTATTAAAGCTGACATTCAACATATTTACAGGAAAACTGACAAAGCTGGATGTGCCGACTACTTTATTACCTTCATTATGATCCTTGACCCTCTTTAGCTTTTTCTGGTGTTGCCTCGATCTCCTCGACACCAGCCTGGGTCATCAGGTCAGCAATGTTTTTTTCCAAGTCATCAATACGTGTGCTCATTTCATCAAGTGGAGAATTAGTTAAGGCAGGTAATTACAACTGGAAATCACAAAGTCAGCTAACACGGACCAAATGACCCAGCCTACAATTATTAACTTTGATGCATATAATCAATACAACATTTTAGATGATTATTAGGATATTCCTTCCAATGATCTGGTCTGACATGGTCTGGAACTTGTCCTGCATCTGTTGCAGCAGAGTCTGAACCTGTGGAGGGGAAAAGAGCAGAAATTATGAAACTGGAGCCACATAGTAGTTAAAGTTTATGGAGATATAAAGTGAAGTCATAACACTGCCAGATACAAACACTTTTAAGCATATGGTCTGTGAATCTGTTTCTATGCCAACAACTTAAAAGCTTGACTATGGATCTATGATTTACTGTAACAAGTACACCTGCAGCGCCCCCCCCCCCCATCTCTTCATTCTGCATCTCCTTCACATAACAGTCAAGTTAATGCTCAGCTTCTTTAAATCTGTGTGAATACGACTGTAGGAAACTAGGTAATGCATAACAACAAATGACTCAAACTAGCGGAGGTGGTTTTTAAACGTTTGCGAGGTTTACTGAAGCTGAACGTCTCTCACTGACCCCCATCTCTATGGCAACACTCAAACACTGCCTACGCAGGCTTTGTCGTATAGAAAACACTAAAAGAATCATTAACATATAATCTGTACATTTTAAGGTCTGTGTGAAACTGCGCGATATTCAGTAGTCACTGATAAGACACTGATAAGGGAAACCTACTATATATAAGTGCCAGGTGAATAAGAATAGAAAATGTACTGCAGGTAACTTTTACATAATTCTGTGCAGTTTACTCGTTGAAATTTGGTGATGCCATTTACATGACCGGTTGACCATTACATAACATTCTGGAGCTAAAGTCTGGGGTTGTGGTTTGGATGCAACAAGCTCAACACACACTTTGAATCTAGAGTTTTACACACCAAACAAAATCCACGAAACACCGCATAAGTGCTAAAATTTGCTAGCTCACATAGCTTGCTATCGTTAGCATTGTTATTGGCTTTGCTAGCTAAGGCTAAGCTACTGTGGCTAAAGCTAGCTTGCCTCGCGATCACGACTCACCACATTGGTAAGGTCCTGCACCGATTTGGGGTCCGTCTCAGCCATGTTGTGATGTAAATGATTATCAGCGCCTAAACAGCACAAAAATTCAAACCGCTATCTAGCGACTGTTTTGCTATCTACTCGAAGTAAGCAATCTCGCACAACACCCACAGCACAGTCAGCTGTTCCAAAGCACAGAGAATCTCGCGAGAGCTGCTCCAAAGTACAGCGAGTTTTGAATGGGCAGTACAGAGTTGTAGATTTTATTTACCCCACGTAGCTTCATAAAACTCCTGACATTCAGATATTTGTTCAGTGCAGTAGTCTGCCTCATTTAGGCGTCCGGGTCATAGAAACATGCACACAAAAGCCTTTGTTAAATCTGTATTAACTAAAACAAAAGATAGAAGTCGATGTATCCGTGCGAGTGCGTGTGCGCCTGCCTGCGAGTGCGTGTGCGCCTGCCTGCGCGCGCACGTTTCTCCTCATCTGAACGAGTTGGATTTGAAAGTTGGAGCTGCCGGGAGCCCGGTGTGTTTTGACGCCGAAGAATTCGTGTGCGGGTTTTGTTTATGTTACAAACGGGCGGAAAGTGAATGACGAGGCTTGGTAAGTAAAGCTTGAAGTTTTAAGTTAACTCTTAAATGAGGGAACTTACTAGGGTATAAAATCCTTATAAGGGGCGATACAGAATCAGCCCCATTGCGCACCGTGCGCGTTGTGAGCTCGCTCTACTATTATAGAAAACGGTAGACTTTCTCAGGTGATTTAATTTTTGCCCTTAAAAGTTCTTATTTGCACAGGCTTATACGAAACCTTCATCTGTTTATAACAATGTAACCACTCGCTGTGAATGCTGGGCCTCTGTGTCTTGTTACTCTGAGGCTGGCACAGTAGCCTAAAATTGATGTCTGGAAGTTCAGGCATGTTAGCCCAACCCAAAGAAGCTATGCTTTGCTTACGTAACAAAGCTCGTTGTGTTATCAGATGTAGTCCATCACATTTGGGCTGCTCTCGTGTGATGGTTAACTTCTACAGCAGGCGGAGGGAAGTAGCTGGAGACGCCTTGGATTGTTAAATTTCCTGAATAATATTTAACTTTGGAAAACACGTAGAAACCTTTTTATGGAATGTGTTAAAGGTCTGCTGCAGGTTTTCATTCACTTTGCATTGTTAATCATCACACCTTTAAAATGCTTTCTGCAATGTTGGTGTTTTTACAGCCGTTATGTCCTTATTACAAATAAATGCCCTCTGATGTTAATCAGGCTGTACACAGGAGATTCCACTCAATGCATCTGCTGTTACGTTGAGGAGAAAAGGTTAACAGCAGCAGTCTTACAAGAAGAGAACCTGTTGGTGAGGGTTTTGTGTTATCACGACAAAAGTGTGTTGACCCAGTGCTGACTGGATTTCCAGGTTTGACTGATTCGTCAGCTGAGCCTTGTGACCAATCAAAAGAGCACATTCATTCTAGCGCGTTTCAAGGTTTGATAATGAAAATATTACACAGTCATTACTGAACAGGAACACAACAGTACCCACAAGCATGATGCCACTGCTCACTGTTGTTCAGCATGTGTAGGTCAGGGTTTTGTGTACACAAAACACGTTTGTTTTTGTTTTGTTTCTACCGAAGAACAACAATAGGGAACTGGAGTTTTAGGGAACTGTATGAAATCAAATTTACTGAAACATATTGTAACACTGTTTGGAGGGAAAAGGGAACTACCATTTGTAATAAAGTAAAATAAAATTCACTTCCTGCTGTGACAAAACAAATTTCCCACGTGTGGGACTAATAAAGGTTATCTTATCTTATCTTATCTTATCTTATCTTATCTTATCTTATCTTATCTTATCATGCCAAGTAGTCACAGTAGTCACTTTGCATTGCTAATAAAAATATTAATTTGAAGATTTAATTTAAGAAAACATTTTGAATTACAGGACCTTTGTTATGAAGACAGCCTGGTAATAGAATATGTTTAACTGAACATTTAAGCTAAGAAGAAAAACGAAAAGCTGGTGTATGCAGTTTGACAGAAGTCGGTGCAGATATGCATTTTGACTTGTTATTTAAACAGTGTGGTAGATCCCATACTGGTCACCTTAGTAACGCCCCTAGCTTCACCAGCCGGTGACTGTTTAACCTCTCCTGGCAGTCCACGTCCTCTGTTGCTGTACATTCCCAGACCTTTGCCTCCCACTTGTGATCCCTGTTCTGATATGTGGCCACTATAAAAGACAAGAAGTTTAAATAATAGAAAAGTAGTTTGCTTGTTACTTGTCTGTCCTCTATATATTTATGTAATGAATTAAAGTACAGTATACTATTTCCAGACAGTCATGGGTCCATTTATTCTAACTGTTGGGAAACCTGAATAAAAATGAACATTTTCTTTGCTGCACCTCTGTTTGGAATCACTACTACGCCTGCCTGTAACAGCAGAGCTTGCCTAAGATGTGTTATTGAATGATTTTGATTGATGGAAATGGATGTAAAACGATTAGAAAAATAAGATAACTGCCAACATTTAGAAGTTGTATTTGGACAATAATGAGCCTTTTGTACTTTAAAAAAATATAAAAAGATAAACATTTAACAGCTGTTTTTGGCTAATCAACCAGCAAATATGTGAAACTGTAACAGACTATGCAACAATGACATAGTTGTCTACTTCAACATTATGTTCTGCATAAAGAAGCTTAAAAGCAGTATTATGCCTGCCTTGTATGTGTGCATTGATAGGCCAGAATCAGCTGACTGAGATCATTTTGGCTCTAATATGAAGGTATATTGCTTCATGTTTTATGTAAGTTTGGTTCTTTTGGTCATCATGCAGGGGCTACTTTCCTGTAAGAGATTTAGTGCTGGAAATAAAAATGAAAATTGTGATGTGAGATATAAGAATGAGGCATTTAATTGCACTCGGGCAATGTTAATCTCTGCTTAGTGACTCTGGGCGCCTCATAATGCCCATTAATGATAACGCTGCTGACCTCCCATTACTTTGACTCTCTGACAGTGGCCTGCTGTCTGTCAGATCTCCTACTGCTACTCATCCACCTCCTGAACACTCGTAATATTCCCTTGCTGTGATGGATGCCGAGGTGGTTCTCCAGGAGGAGGACATGGTGGGCTCGTGGACGCTGCTCTCCTGGCTGGCATCATTCGTAATGGTGTTTGGGGGAGCCCTGCCTTATGTGCCGCAATATCAGGAGATCCAGAAAAGCAGCAACACTGAGGGATTCTCCACCAGAGTCTGTCTGGTGCTGCTCATAGCTAACATCTTGCGTATATTTTTCTGGTAAGAAAGCATTTGTTCTTTACTCATAATTTTTATCCTTTTGCTTTTCTGTTTTATTCCTTTTAAAGGTGCTAACCTGTCATGTCGGCCTTGAGGCTCTGTATTTAAATACAGCTGATCCTACCGGACTACATGCTGATCTATAAGAGCTCTGTATCTAAAGTCCTGATTGATTTTGGTTGCGTGGTCTTGTTCTTGCAGGATAGGGAAGCAGTTTGAGCTGACCCTGCTGCTTCAGAGTGTGGTCATGATTCTCACCATGTTTGCCATGCTCCACCTTTGTTGCACTGTGCAAAACACCAACAGAGTAAGCACCAAGCAGCATCGCCTTTCAGGTAACCGCAGCTTACCATGCAATCACTGTCATGATCATTTACAGTTACAGCAAGTGACGCATCCAACATTCAATGCTTCCCTGTGTCAGCAGTTTTAGGCGAGAACTCCTGCTTCTTTCCAAAAGAGGGAGCTAGTGGAAAAGCTAACATTGCAAGATTGCTGTTCTCAAAACACCTTACCTATGAGAGCTACTTTTTATATTCTGACTTGTCCTCTGTATATTGAATTCTTCTTTTCAGTTTCCAGTGTGACGAATACGCAAAAACACTGAACACAGTAAAGCTTGAAATATCATTAAAATATCACGTTAAAGAATGTGTAAGAAGTGCAAAGCCAAACAGAGACCATCCACTATAATTGCAAACCCTTCTTTAACCTTATGGCATAACCTGAAGTGCACCTCCCTCGAAATGTAACTACATGTCATGTTCATGCAGCCTGCAACTAGTTTTTAATTTATCAATAATCACTGTCTCAATGTAAAAAATGGAAACTAATATGAGATCACTGAAATTGTCCAAATTGATGTGAAGGGATGAACAAGGCACTTTATTTGTTTCTATTTGCTGGCATTGCATGTAAAGCACCAGGACTCAACCATAAGGTGAATATGCACCAGCACAAGTATAAATGTCGGCAACAACGTCGACCACTAAACGTAGGTTACGTCGTAGACGCTACCGCAGACGTCTAAAACAGCCATTAGTCAGTTTGTGTGGAAATAAGCCGGGTTACATGGTGGCATTGTGACAAATATGTCTTCATAACATGAATTATAGAGTACAGCGAGGTAAAGATTTGATTTAAGGTGCACAGGCAGCAGGTCTGCAGAATGTCGGCCCATCCCACCCTGTGAATTACAGGATATCTCTCCTTAGAGTGCGTGTGCACGAAGTATAAGAAATGTGATGGAAACACAAGCATGTGAATGTGTTTCTTAGGAGGCTGTGGATGACGTATTGGTACAGAGTGAGAGCAGATGATGTGAGCTAAGATTAAGCGCACCAATATCAGTGTCTCCTCTGAATTGTGTGTGTGTGTGATGCCAAGACGGGGAACCCAACCAAGATTATTTACAGGGTCTCTTTTTATAGGCTGCTGTCTTTTATAGGTAATTGTGTTTTTTACAGACGCTCGAGCCAAATATTCTGACAGAAATTCAATCTTAGTGCAGTTTTTCTTTTTTTGTTTTATTAGACAACGAAGTAAAACTGAATAATGGAATCTTGTAATAGTCTGATCATGCAGAGCACAACGTGTTATTAAAGACATAAATCACGATAACTGATTTTAGGTTGATGGATATGAAACAGGGAGAATATTTCTTTGTAAAGACGAGCAGAAAGCATGTCTGTTTGTTAGGCTGTCAGAGGCAAATCCCTCTAAATGAGTTTTGATTGAGGAACTACAGACTGAGTGTGTGTGTGTTTAGACAGGAGAGTAATGATCATCTTTATGTTAGACTGTGCTTCTCTTGCCTTTACAAAGAACTGATCTATTACTCATCAGCAGCCCCCCTCCCCCCTCTGTTTATATTATTTCAGCCTACGCCAAACAGTTTTTGTGGTGAATAAAATAGTTTATTGTAAGTGGAGGAGGATCGTCTGATTTCCATATAGGCTGTTTGTGAACGTGTAGCAGTGAACAACAATTCTGCCTGCAAGCCGCTGAGGCGTAAACTGTTAATCAGAGGAAACAGAGCGATTGATTTAAAGCGATCTTTATTTTTTAATCACACTATCAGCTAAAACACATCATGAACACTCTTTCACATTAAGCCCCTCGCTCTCTCTTAAGGGCAGCTCTGAGGTCCAGTTGCGATGGGGGATGGTGGGGTCGGGACAAGAATAGATCAGAACGGCTCTTCTCCCCAGCTGCCTGCTCTTCCCTCCACGTTTCTTGTGCAAAGTCTTTCCAACAGATCAGGGTCATCTCTATGTAAAATAGTTACTTCTAACCATGATGCATGTCGGCGTGGTTTACAAATACGGAGCTATTTTTGTGGCTCCTTCATTTCTTAGCTCCTCGCTCAGAAGTCCTGACTGCTCTTTATTTCTCACACCTTCCTCCACTCTTCTTCTACTCTCCCCTCTCCTCCTCCTGTCGATCCTTCTGTTGCAGTTTCAAGGGCTCCCACTTCTTTTCCTTAACTTCTACTTTTATGAACAGATATCTGAGACTGCCAGAGTCCATGCTGAGGTCATCTCTGATCCACTTGCTTTAATGCCAACTTCTGTCATCTGCCTACTAACCTCATTTCCACTGCCTCAAAGCACACTCGAGCAGAACATAACCTGACTGACTGAGGCCAAACAGAGAACTGCATGTCTCCTGTGAGTGTCATTCTCCCACAGTTAAAAAAAAAGATAAAAATTTTGCAGCGCTGAAAGTTTTTTTCTTTCTTTTCTGTTGGCTATACCAACACATTGTTGTTGCGTTCCTAAATATATTAAGTTATAGTGAAATGTTTCTTTTTTAACATTACTCTTATTACAATATTACATAGTCCAGTGTATTACTTACCTTTTTACGCTTTATAGAAAGTAATTTATGAATTGCTCATTACATTACTTTTTGCATTACTCCTCAGCAGCACATAGGAAGCACTGTCACTTAATTGCCTATATAATATGAAACTTTCCATCTACATGTATATATGGATATCCTGACAGTGAAGACTTATCAATGATCTCCTTTCAGTATTTAGTTCTTATCACAAAGCTGAAAACAGCTGGTGAAAGAGCACTCGACAGCTGCTTCGTGTGTTAGCACGCTGCCATTGAAGCTGGATGCTGAGATTTGATATCGTGCACAGGAGATGGGTTTGTTTTTTCTTCTGGATTTCACATCCTTGTGTCCAAAACATTAGCATAATGTGCATATCTCCACCCGTGAAGATCTGTAGACCACTGTGCCATTTAGGCTATGGTGCACTAATGATGTTTTACTCAGAGCTGACTCTGGTCTTCTCAGCCTTCCTGTCCTTTTGGATCTGAGTTCAGCCTTCGACATGATCTCTCCTTCTAAACAGACTTTCCTGTCTTGGCGTCTCCGACACCCCCCCAGCCTGGTTCCAATCATATCTCCTTGACCGTCTATTCCCGGTCACTTCTGGTGTACCCCAACGTTCAGTCTTAGGCCCTCTTCTCTTCATAACAGACATCCTCCCTCTTGGTACCATTTTCCATAAACTTCATCTTTCCTTTCACTGTTTTGCTGATGACACCCAGTTAAATCTCTCCCGCTGGCCTGATTCCTCCCTCCCACCTTCTCTTATAGAATGTTTATCCGAATTAAAATCCTAATTTTCTAAAGCTCGATGAGGATAAAACTGAACTCCTTGTCGGCACTAAATCCAACCCACTGAAGGCAAATCATTTCACTCTCACTGTTGATAACTCCACAGTTTTCCCTTCTCCTCAGGTTAAGAGCCTTGGTGTCATCCTAGACAGTTCACTGTCCTATAAATCTCACATCAGTGATCTCACCTGTTCTGCCTATTTCCATCTATGCAACATTAACCGATTACGTCCTTCTCTTTCCACCCAGTCTGCGTCCATTCTTGTTTAATAGTCTCGTTACCTCCCGCATTGACTATTGTAATTCTCTCTTGCATGGTCTCCCCCAGAAATCCCTCCATAAGCTTCAACTGGTTCAAAACTCTGCTCCCGGCATTATTACCAGAACCCCCTCCTTTTTTTTTCTTGCGCCTGTCCCGTTTGGTTCTTTTGCCATCAGAATTATTGTCTAAAGGCAAAGAAAGATGCCCAACGAACTTCCTCCTACAAGCGCATCACCTGTCATGTGATTACTGAATTAAGGAAAGTACCACTGCTTATGAGAATCACAGTTAGGCGTCTCCAAATAGGTTTGAAACTGGTGACTGGGAGTTCCTTTTTGTGTTTCTGTCACTAAGATGTGGTTAATAGTAAAAATTTGTAATTGTTTTCTCCTCAAAGGGTAGGTGTAAAGCCATTGTTGCCCGGTAACAGTGCCTCCTGCTTTTGTATTGTATACGTGAAAACAGGTAATTGTATAAAGTTGTTGCCAGAATGGCACAACAAAGAGAAATGTCAGTCAGATGAGTAAGCTCGCTTCTTTCAAGGATGAGCTTGTTGTGCAAGTTTTATGCCCACACTTTTTTTCACTCCGGCTTTCTTATAAACAACCAAAGAGTGCCAGTAACTACATCATGGCATGTGAAAAAGGAAGTGCTGTTTTTGGCTTTATGCACAAACTGTAGCACAGTCTGGAAGTTTCTTCAGACTATCTCACCAGGAGTGCTCAGACTTTAGAAGTGAAGCCAAGCTAAGAGATAACAAACACAACGACACAGCCTGGATTTTCTCGTCAGGTCACCTTCATTATTATTTATTATTTTTGTACTAGATGTGTAAGGTGTGTCTGTGTGTGTGTGTGTGTGTGTGTTTGCATCCTGTACAGTAGCTCTTTGTCTCCTTAATCCATTGATGATGCAGTGATATCAGGATGAAAAGTCAGCAGAAAACAGAATCTGTTTTTCGTCTGCATCAGCATTGTTACTCTGCCCATTTTGATGCCCTCTGCATAATCGTTCATAGAGGTGAAACTTCATATATTTGTGGTTAAAATGTGTTCTTGAGTCTTTGTCATAGTCTCTGCCTGTGCTCACTCAGAGTTATTACTTTGCAAAGTCTTCAGTACCTGCCCCAGGGTGCCACATTAGCAGTCCTGGCCTTATAATGCAGGAGTTTGAAGCCAGATAGAGAAGTAAGGGGTCTGAATATATTCAAAGACACATGTGACCTCAGGCTAAGTGTCAGATTGGTGTAGACAGTAACTCTGAGTATGTGAAAGAAGAGAATTCTGGGGCTGGATTAAAAAAACTTGATTTAAAACAAGTCAAGAATATCTAATGAAGTGTAATTACTGAGCTACTGTGAGGTCACTGAAAGTGGAACACCATAAAAGCTGAACAACATCCTCCTCTGTTGGCTGAAACGGGTAAAGCACACCTGCG